AGGAACATGAGTAAGTTTGTCAGACAGAATTTTTTTCCATGAAACCGTGTTGTGATGTATTGATATGACTGTGTTCGGTCAGCGGTCAGGTGTTGGCATCTCATAATTTTCTCAAAGAGTTTGCAGACTGTTTATGTGATGTTACGCTGATCAGCCTGTATTTTTCTTCTGCCCTTTTCCTACCCTTCTTGTATGCTGAGGTGATAATAGTTAATTTCCAGTCCCTAGGCACTTTACCTTGATCCAAGGATTTCCTGAATAAGAGTCTTAGTGGGGTGCAAATCTCATTTGCCACCTCCTTTTATCACCTTGTTCTGTGCCCCATCCATTCTATAGGTTTTGAATTCCTTTAAGCTGGCTACTTTCCTTTTGATGATAGTATCTGTAATTTCTATCGCTTTAAATTCATTTTCCACCCCTGAGGTATAGGTATGCATTCTCTTAGGTACTGACATGTTATCCACTGTCTCTTGTGTGAATACTGATGCAAAGTATTCATTTAAGGTATCAGCTGTTTGTCTGTCCAACCTATTAATTCCTTTGACTACACAGTCTGAAATAATTTTGCATAGTAGTGATGATCCTTCGTGCCTTGATTAGCCTGGAGCAAAACGGGAATGTTTTTTTGTAGCCTGATTCTTAACCTATGTACAGTCTGTTGCCTGCATTCATGAAGCTGCTGACTTCTGTAGGGGTCCTTAAAAATAACATTAGACTTTTTTTTTTTTTTGAAAGCTTATGATCTTGAACAGGGTATGGTGATGGAGAATTACAGGAAGTATTAAAACTAAAGGGTATATGAATGATAGAAGTTGAACTGTCACTTTTTATGATCTTTTACTGTAATAAGGTACAGCATGCCCTAAAAATTCGCGGGGGTTAGGTTCTCAAAATGGCTGCGAATAGCCAATTCCGCCAATAACATTTACTGACCGAGGGGGGGGGGGATACATTTTTACTCGTGTGCAAAGAAATGTAAAATACCTTTATGTGTTTGCCCTTAGAACAATTATTTCTTTTACCTGTATTGTATATATGTGTGTGTGTTTAGACACACACAAAACACTTACAAATAGTTAATAATGGGAAAATCCTCTCACAAATAATCAGAAACAAGACAATAAAATGTATTAAAAATGTAAAAGTCGACCCTCAAGGATGACCTTACTAGATGCCGTTTCCCAGTCAGGTTGTTTTTTTAGGCAGGGTGTGTTTAGGGCACTTTTTCTAGCCCCTTCCCCATGTGTGGTGAGCAGAGTGGCTCCTCGTAAGGGCTGCTCAGTCGCTCAAACAGGACCTGATTGCGCTGCTGCCTAGATCCCAGTGCATAGACGACCATCTTATCTGTGCCGCCCATGTGCAGAGTTGTGACTAAAGACTCCCGGCAGTCATCTCTGCCTGTCCCTGTTGCTATAGGACTTTTGGGGGTTTTGATGATGATGAGAGGTATGATGAACTGGATGATGGCTGCATGTGAGTGGAGTTATGTGGTGACACACACACACACACGTTGACAGTCGGAATATTTTCGCAAGTTGGCAGGTCAATATGTAAAGAAAATGGTAATGACATTTTTAAATAAATTGGACCAAAAAGTGTCAAAAATAAGGGTTAAAGTTGCTAAAAAGTCACGTGACTGTGAAAAGCTCTGTGATTGGTTGTGACGTCATTGGCTGGGGCGAGCCACCCACCAGGAAGCAGCCAGTTATAGTTGTCCAACCTTCTCGGCTGATCCGCTCTGTAAAGAAATATTAATAGATAATTAATTGTGCTTTATTGTGCAGCACAGTAATACCTTTTTGAATATAAAATATTAATAAGCACATAAACTAATTCAATGGATATTAGCTGCCCATACAACAAATTTCATAGTAAAACATTCCAAACAATATTGGTATTATTTTGGTTTTGGTCATCTGGGAAACCTTAAGATTCTAATTATGGGATTAAGTACGTTAGTAGGTTAGCTTAACATACGTCGGTAAGGGGGGATAGTAACTCAAAACTAGTGATTTCCGATAGAAATGAAGGTCTAAATCGTTCATAACACATCGCAAACCATCAGAAAAAAACATAGTCTGCATGTCTAAGTACAGGGATGACCAAAACTTAAAATTTACCCAATTTAACCCATCTCAAATCTAAACATCGAAATACTCATGGTAGTTTAGGTAAATTTTACCCATTAATTAATATAAATGATGATATATCCCAGTGGTTTCATTAGTGACTCATGAAACCAATAACAGCACTATGTTGTCATGTTTACCTAGCATCAGGCATTCTCAAAACAAAGTCCAGACAATGTCATTACTTCTAAAGTTACTCGTATCTCCACCTAGTACTGACATCCTCTATGAATGCACTGAAAAAAAATGAAGAGAAAGTCTACCAGGTAAGAGTACATGACAGCTGAGCTGGTGTGAACATGGGAGTTTTTTATGTCCATAAGAACATAAGAATGGAGGAAACTGCAGTTGGCCTATTGGCCCATACTGGGCAGTCCCATTTACACCCAACCCCTATCGCTCATATTCCCATCCAACCTATGTTTGAAGCTGCTCTTCACGGCACATTTCTTCACTTACGAAATGTCCCTGATTTAGACTATAAAAAAACACCCTTAAAACTTACGTGAATGTGGCATTTGGGGACTGAAAAGACAATCCTTTTTAGTACCTCCGACTGTAGCAATGAGTTTGAAGATACAGTGGTCCCTCGGTTAACGAGCACAATTTGTTCCAGAAGGTTGCTCGTTAACCGAAAAACTTGTTAACCGAAACCATTGTTTCAATGGGTTTTGGGGTAATTGGTTCCAGGTCACCGAAAATTTCCTAAAATCAACAAAAAAGGTAGTAAAGTACACTTACTTTGAGGTGTGTATGTAGAAGGCTCCTGGATGATGATGATGATGATGATGATGATGATGATGATGATGATGATGATGATGATGATGATGATGATGGGAATTAGAATGGGGGTGGAGGAGAAAGGAGAAGAGAAGGCATTGGGGTGGAAGAGAAGTCACCCCATGGCTCCATTTCTCCCATAAAATTTTAGTTCTCTTGGTGTAATTCAAGATTATTTTCTTTAAATCAACACTGCACTGCATTATATATTGTCAATATGTAAAATAAATTTCAAATTGACCAATAATTTGCTTGGAAACACAGAAAAAAGCATTTAGTTGAAGAGAGTCTCAAGCAAGATGTTACCTCCACTGAAAAGACACAGAGACTGACGCCTGTTTGGTGTGTTGACAGGCTGTTTGGCGCGCATAAAACTAGTTTCATGTACTTCAATTATGTTCAATAATTATTAAAATGACTAAAAAATTTAATATAAAACTTTTAAAATTGTTGAATAGTACAAACTTCTTGATATTTACTGAAATAGTAAGGAATTTAAGCCCTAGAACTGATTACTGTATAGGCGGACTAATACTACAGCTGGTGGACTGCCAAATGCAAACGAAAACATAATAATAATAATAATAATAATTTACGGTTTATTGAAAAAGTTCTGCAGCCCGAAGGCTGAAAATATACATTGGACATAAATGACTTATTACATACATTGGTGGTTTAACAAAAGCCTTCATTAGAGAAAGGTAAAGGAACATACAGTGAACATACAGATTAATGTAGGTAATAAGCAAACATGTAGTGTAGTAACTCCCTCACAGATGGTGTTATGAGGGACCTGACGTGGTGTAGTAATTCCCTCACAGGTGGTGTTACGAGGGACCACGTGGTGTAGCAATTCCCTCACAGATGGTGTTATGAGGGACCTCACATGGTGTAGTAATTTCCTCACAGATGGTGTTATGAGGGGCCGTACGTGGTGTAGTAATTCCCTCACAGATGGTGTTATGAGGGACCACGTGGCGTAGTAATTCCCTCACAGATGGTGTTATGAGGGACCACGTGGTGTAGTAATTCCCTCACAGATGGTGTTATGAGGGACCTGATGTGGTGTAGTAATTCCCTCACAGATGGTGTTATGAGGGACCACGTGGTGTAATAATTCCCTCACAGATGGTGTTATGAGGGATCACGTGGTGTAGTATATCCCTCACAGATGGTGTTATGAGGGACCACGTGGTGTAGTAACTCCCTCACAGATGGTGTTATGAGGGACCTGATGTGGTGTAGTAATTCCCTCACAGATGGTGTTATGAGGGACGGCGTGGTGTAGTAATTCCCTCACAGATGGTGTTATGAGAGACCTGACGTGGTGTAGTAATTACCCCACAGATGGTGTTATGAGGGACCACGTGGTGTAGTAATTCCCTCACAGATGGTGTTATGAGGGACCACGTGGTGTAGTAATTCCCTCACAGATGGTGTTATATGAGTGAGGTGTGGTCCCAGGCCTTCCAATCGTAGACGGATTAACACATCGCTGGTTGTTGTTGGGTCTCACGGGCCGTTATCACTGGGTACCTGGGACCTCACTGTGTGAAGGTTAACTTGGGTACGACTATTACTGTTGAGTTGTTCTCACTGACTTAAGCACTGTTCACCTCTGTTTAACACTGGTTTAATACTGGGCGCTCATTAAAAACTCGTTAATCGAGGGATTGCTCGTTAACCGAAGTTAAGAATCTTATGGAAGGCAAATCATTAACCGAGGCGCTCGTTAACCGAGGGATCACTGTAGTGACGTCATTGCAAATGGCGGCCCTATTTCTAGAGAAATAAACTTATCTCAACTATTATAGCAGGACTTTAAACTTTTAATACACATTATATATACAGTATCACTCTACGAACGTGGCAAAGTGTATTTCTTTTGTTTACCCAGAACCGTCAACTCGTCCATTGTGGTGAAGAGTTGTAATAAAAAACTATACAGGATTTTGACTCCTTTGGAACTACAAAATTTCATGATGCAAAAGTTGGTGTCCTCGGTAATCGGGGTGTAACATTTTTCAAGTTTTAAAAAAATATATTGTTTTTTTATCTTTTCTTTCATCAATATTTTTTTCTCAATTTTAGGAGCAGATATATGAAGACTTGGGGACTGATGTTGTATCAAATGCTCTCCAGGGATATAATGCCTGTGTCTTTGCTTATGGACAAACAGGAAGTGGCAAAACCTTCACTATGATGGGTTCCCAGGTCAGTAAAAATTTTTGGTTCCCAGCTAGTGAAATTGAATGGAACTGAGAGTTAACCCCTATTTACATTGTTATTTTTCTTTTATATAAGTTATCCATGAATCTATCATTTTATTAACTTTTTGAATACATTGTGATTGACTAAGAGAGGTATAAATGACAGTGTGCCCTGGTAGTGTGACATGTGCTGAGACTAGGTAGAAGGCAGCTACCAAACGGAGGTACTACCGCCTGGGAAGATATTGGAAGCATAATGTTATTGTCTAATGGTAGTCCCTGCTGCCATATGGCAACACAAAAATTTTGACCAAGTCCCAGGCTGCTGATCTGACTTTTCTGTCTCATTTACACAATTGCAGTTTCTCAATTGTTTCTCTTACTTTGACAACACAATATATTGTATATTGTTTCTTACTCTTGATCGTTTTTATAATTTTTTTATTTCTTTATTATTATTATTATTATTATTATTATTAATATTATTACAGTCAACCCTCACTTTACGCGGTTAATGTAACCCACAGGGTACCGCGGAAAGTGAGAAACGCGTAAAGTGAATAACATAACATATGGGATTAAATGAAATAGAGACCAGCTGACCCCCAAACTCCACTTTTTCCAACACAATACCTATGTTCTAGTAAAAATAACATCTTAATTTTATGATGGTACATGCACACAATTAATACTTAAGAGAAATACAGTCGCCAAGTTAATGTCCATTCAAATAATGGACTCAACTCCCTCCCCCACTTCTCACACTACACTCACTGGCTCTTCCCTCTCTGAGAAATTTTGGGGGGAAAACCAGGTATAGTAATAAATAATACCTCAAACTAAAGTTAGGATAATATAATTGACATTGCTGGATTCCTTGTAAGACCAGGAATATTTTGAATACAAATGTCATATATTTTGCACAAAAGATAACATATTTACTCAGAGTAAACATTTTATCTAAAATTTGTATGTCTAATGCAAAATCTATGATGTTTATATTGAAAATGATCATCAAATTGTAAGAATTCCAGCAATGTAAATTATATTCTGGCCGGGTAATTTGTATGAATTTTATGAGCTAAAACAAATATCGTCAGTTAATAAAAAAAAAAATAATATTCTTCACACCATGGTGCCAGGTGGTCGGTCACCGGTCCCTCCCTCCCTCCCTCCCTCCCACCCACCACCAAGCCTCCCTACCAGATGAATGTGTGGGAATACCAGACTGTTTACATTTTTAGTAATAAATAATAAATCAGACTAAAGTTAGGATAATATAATTGACATTGCTGGATTCCTTGTAAGACCAGGAATATTTTGAATATAAATGTCATATATTTTGCACAAAAGATAACATATTTACTCAGAGTAAACATTATATATAAAATTTGTATGTCTAATGCAAAATCTATGATGTTTATATTCAAAATGATCATCAAATTGTAAGAATTCCAGGAATGCAAATTATATTCTGGCCGGATAATTTGTATGAATTTTATGAGCTAAATAAAAAAATTATACTTCACCCGTGTAAAGGGGTACACCCACCGCAGAATGTGAGCATCCTGGGTTCTGGCAGGGCACCGTTTACAACCGGAATGTGGGACCGCGTAAAGTGAGGGTTGACTGTATTATTATTACAGTGTTGTTATTATTATTATCATTGTTATTTTATTATTTTATTTTCAAATTTTTATTTTTTATTAAAAATTTTATTTACTATGAATTATTATTATTATTATTATTATTATTATTATTATTATTATTATTATTATTATTATTATTATTATTATTATTATTATTATTATTCTTATTATTATTAGTATTAGTATTAGTATTAGTATTAGTAGTATTAGTATTAGTATTAGTATTATTAGTATTATTATTACTACTACAGGTTGTACCTCTCTAGTCCGGCCACCTCGGGACCTGACCGGTGCCGGACCATGGAAATTCACCCATTTCCTGGATAGATAGTGACTTGTGCTTACGCTTGGAAGCACTAGCACCACTTTCTCTGCTTCATGGTCTCTTTCGAGACATATTGAAGGGTTACATGTCGTACAGTAGTTTCTCAAATATCGCAAGTTTTTAATTCAACGTTTTTTATTGGAACACAAAAAAAAATTAAAACTTTTGACGGCGAAAACTCGAATTTCGATGGGTTTGAACAGCTCACCAACGTTCAGATGTGCATAATCGTGTAAACAGCGTCATTTCTTTTATGTACAAAAGATTCATTATTGATTATTAATGAATGTCTTTTTGATTGAATTAATGTTTATGTGTGCAAAATGACCAATGCAATTCATTAATAATACGTAGAATATTAAAACACACGAGGAGACGAAACGGCTTTGTTTTCGTTGTTTACAAAACCAGTGAGTGACTGGTTCTACATATAAAACTGAAGAAAATAAGACCGTGGTTGTAGCTGTAGTAAAATTAATATGGTTGTTTTAAATAATGTTATTTAATGTTATTAAATGGAACAAAAGAAGTAGCTACCGATAATGGTAAAGAAAAAAAGAGAGATTGCATATGTAAGTGCGCACACGTGAAAACATATCATCATTACTTTACATAAGAATATGAAAGCAACACTTATTTACAGTTCATATATATTTTAATTAATGTTTCTGAATTTTTTTTTTTTTTGAATTAATGTTTGTGTGTGCAAAATGAACAATACAATTCATTAATAATACGGGGAATATTAAAACACACGAGGAGACGAGACGGCTGCCGGCATTGTTTTTCGTTAATGCTTACAAAACCAGTGACTGATTGGTTCTACATATATAACTGAAGAAAATAAGACCCTGATTGTAGCTGTAGTAAAATTAATGTAAAAAAATTAATATGGTTTGAAGTAATGTTATTTAATGTTAATAAATGGAACAATATAAGTAGCTAACCATTAATGGTAAAGAAAAAAAGTGAGACTGCGCGTATGTAAGTGCGCACATGTGAAAACATATCGTCATTACTCTACATAAGAATATGAAAGCAACACTTATTTTTTCAAATTCTCAGGTACTTGCAACAACAGTTGCTGCAACTTATTACTTTGGCTGTGCTGTCGTTCTGTCGTAATGGACCTTCGAATATTGTTTACTTCGCTGGTATCCACCTCCCCTGTTGCATTCTGAGCTATTATGTGGTCCGTGAGGGCTGCCATGATCTTAACTGAGTTTTGATGTTTGGTGGCAGCAATCTCCTCTGGTTTGGTCAACCCCATACCTCCCAGTCTCGGTGGTAGTGCAAGGAGTGATCTTTCTGCTGGGGTTAAGTGAGGGTGTTTCACTAATTTGGGAATGAAATTGACGCTGATAGCTTCTTCCAGAGGGTGGGGGAGGGGACCAATATCAGGGATAGTGCGCATCAGGTAGTTCCAGCGATGGTTGACTCCATGAGTGAATGCCGCAAAAGCCGCACGAGGCTCTGTGTTAGCAATCTCAGACAATGCTTGGATTTCCCTAACCCACTCATTCACTTTTCCCGTTACATACTTAGGTCTTGAAGTCAGTCGTGCCGATTACTGCGCCTAGGTGTCTTTGGCCTTCCTTTGTTATTTTCATCTCACTTCCGCCAAACACCTCCATTGCCCGCTCATAATGTTCTGGCTTCACAATGAGGAAGGACTTGCTGGCATTTGGGTGGTACCCTATTTGTGGGCCTCGCGATGTTACCAGGTCCCACCACTTTTTGATGTCCTCCACTTTTCCTGCTCTTGTAAGGTCATCAGCGTATGCCACTTGTTTGACCTCAGTTGTTTAAACTTTTATTGTGTGTTGGAGCACGGATAGGCCTATTGCTTACATTGCCATTACAACAGGGTCCCCCTGCGTTGTTCCCTCGGTTGACTGTGTGATGGTATCACCTCTTAGAGCCTTGTTGTTTACTCTATAGAGGTCTGATGGATTCCTATAGGAGTTTTCAACATACATTGCAAAGCTTGGACACTTGATCTTGATGGTGTGCAGCGCGGCCTTGTTGTTAAGTATGTTGAATGCGTTTGAAGCATCAACCAGGAGAACGGCCTCACAATCACTCTGCTCAAATATCGTTCTCATGGCGTGAATGGCAGCTTCCCCTCCAGCCTGGTGGCCAGCACAAACTTGCAGGTTCCCTGCTGCTGCCCTGACATCATCCTTTACCACCTCCATTATGCATTTTCCGATGATCCATCTCAGCACTTCCCCCACCCCTATAGGCCGACATCCTGGATTCTTATCCAGGGGAATGAGGCGGCAGGCCGTCAGAGCATGGAGGTGATGGCAGCACGAGGATTCCAGCTTTCTTGCACGGACGGCAATGGCAGTGCAGAGATCACTTGCTACAAGGCCAAACTTGTTAGTGCTGAGGATGACTCTCCAACCGTTTGCATCCAGACCTGAAGGGCCGGCTCCTCCTCAAGTCTTCAGTGCCTTTTTCCACACCATCCCTCCTGTTATTTTCTCGAACAGGACAGCATTTGGTGGATATAGTCACCCTGGAACCTGATACCTTCGTCTTCACTTGCAGGGGGATTTTTTTCTTTCAGTTGTTTTACTGTCTCTCTGTTTATTGGCAGAACCCCATCGGGGGATTCCTCTGTGAGAGATCTTACCGTCGAAGACACTTTTCCCTCACGCATTTTGTTTCCTAACTTTCTTGCAACGTCATCGGTGTTTTGCTTTCCGTCACCTGTAAATTTTAGTCTCTCCTGCAGTATTCTTGCTTCACATAGGAGATCCTCAAGGGCCCCATTCTGCCACATTGTCAATTTTCTCTTCATTGCTGCTGCATTTTCTTTGTGCTTAGTCTTTGTGTGTGTCCTCTGACAGAATAGATGTGGTATTTTTGCCAGTATTTGAAGAGCTAAAGGGGCATGGAAGCAGTCCTGAGTGTAATCAGGTATGAGGCGAATCATCTCCCGAATCATTTCTTTGGTGGCCGCACACTTGGGTGGTTCAAATAGGTTAGCTGGCGACCACCTGTCAATTTCTGAGTACTGTA